CAGAATTTATATAAAAAAGTAATAATAATTGAACACGATAAATTTTGTGTCACGCTTTTCTCTCTCTCTCTCTCTCTCTCTCTCTCTCTCTCTCTCTCTCTCTCTCTCTCTCTCTCTCTCTCTCTCTCTCTCTCTCTCTCTCCTTCTCTCTCCTTCTCTCTCCTTCTCTCTCTCCCTCCCTCCCTCTCTCTATCTCTCTTTCTCTCTCTCTCTCTCTCTCCTCTCTCTCTCTCTCTCTCTCTCTCTCCTCTCTCTCTCTCCTCTCCCTCTCCTCTCCCTCTCTCTCTCCCTCTCCTCTCTCCTCTCCTCTCCCTCTCCTCTCCTCTCCTCTCTCTCTCTCTCTCTCTCTCTCTCTCTCTCTCTCTCTCTCTCTCTCTCTCTCTCTCTCTCTCTCTCTCTCTCTCTCCCCCCTCTCTCTTCTTCTCTCTCTCTCTCTCTATCTATCTATCTATCTTTATATCTGTCTCTGTCTCCCTTTCTCTTTCTCTCTCTCTCGATCTATCTATCTGTCTGTCTCTGTTTCTCTGTCTCTCTCTCTCCCCCCCCTCTTTCTCTTCCTCTCTCTCTCTATCTCTATCTATCTTTCTATCTATCTATCTGTCTCTGTTTGTCTCTCTCTCGCTTTCCACTGGCTACGATTATCATATTAATGGTTTGTTGCCATGGAGACGACGATATTCATCTTACCGAGTGTCTATCCCGTTTTCCATTGTTTACAAGTTTTGTTCACATCGAATTATGCGGACTGATGTGCTTTTCATCTTCCGTTCTATTGTTATAAAATCAGAAGATCTTCCTAATGTTACAGTTGTTTATGCTGACTTCGATCCTTGGTGTGTGTGAAGTACTGTGCCACCCGATGTTATGGTTGTTTGTGATACCTCCCTTTCGTGGCATGAGCGGGGCACTGTGCCATGTCACGTCTGGTGGCACTGTCTTCCGTACTTAAGGAGTGTTGAGATTCTATTGTGGAAGTTGTTTTTTTTCGTACTGCAGGTGGGGAGATGTGAGCATACAATGTAATGTTGTATCGGTTTGTTGTTTTATGTAGCTATGTGGAGGTTGGGAGAGTAGGGTAGGTTGTGTGTGTGTGTGTGTGATAGATAGATAGAGTGAGAGGGAGAGAGTGAGAGAGAGAGAGAGTGCGTGGAGTGGGAGGGTTGCGCGTGCGCGCAATCATGTGCACTTGCATTTGCGAGTGAGTGATTACGAAATTCAGAAAGAGAAAGGCGATAGCCAAAGATAAACGGATAGAAATGAAAACAGTACAAGACCCAGGTAGATGCAAAATATATCCAACATATTAAGAGAAAGCGAGCTTGCATATACACATCTATATTGTACGCACACGTCATCCTCTCCCTAACATGTTCAAGAGCCCAACCCTTTTTGCGCCTCAGGAATTTCCCTCGTGAACGTCAGCGAGCCACTTCCTTCTCACTCCTTGCCTCGCTCTTCGTTATCCTCGTCCTCTTCCTCTTCCTCCTACTCATTCTCCTCATTCTCCTTCTGCTTCTAATTCTTCTCTTCCACGTTCTCATTCTCTTTCTCCACTTTCTGCTCTTCCTTCTCCTCTCTTTCTCTCCTCTTCCTCATTTTCCTCATTCTCATGCTTCTTCTAATTCTCCTCCTCCTCCTCATCATCATCATCGTTATTCTTCTCCGGCTGCTGGTTTTCATTCCTCCATTTTTGTTTTTTTGTTTGTTTCTCTTCCTCATTATTCTCCTTTCCCTCCTCTTTCTCTTCCTCCTCCTGCTCCAGCTCCTGTTCCTGCTCTTGCTCTTACTCTTTCTCCTCCTCATTCTCTCCCTCTTCTCCCATTCCCTTCCTCCTTCTCCTTCCTCTTCCCTTCCCCCACCTCCCTCCTCTCCTCCTCCCTTCCTCTCTTTCCCCTCCCTCCCTTCTTCATTCCCTTCCCCTTCTTCTTTCCCTCCTCCTTCCCTTTCTCTCCTCTCCCCCCACTCCCTCCCCCTCTCCCCCCTCCCCCACCATCACCCCAGTCCCGTTACCAGCCGGACGTCCTTCAGTCTAGCGACCAGCCTGAGGGTCGGGTTAGCCTGGGAAGGGAAGGGGGAGGGGGGGGGAGGGGATGAGGCAGGGTGGTGGGGGAGTGAAGGGGGACGGAAGGGGGTAGTGGTGGTGGGTGGGGAAGGGACAGGGGAAGGGGTGGGGGTATGATGTGGTCTTAGGTGTGTTTGCGCGAAGGTGTTTCTGGTGTCTGCTTCGTTTTGTGTTGGGGGCTACCGGTGTGTGTGTGTGTGTGTGTGTGTGACGGAGCATATGATATGATATGATGTAGTATGCTATGGTATAGTATGATATATGGTATATCATGTAATATATGATCTACCGTCATGCAGATTATTCTGTAACATAAATAAACATTACACTAACTCTCGTATTTATCAATTCTCGTGTGTGTGTGTGTGTGTGTGTGTGTGTGTGTGTGTGTGTGTGTGTGTGTGTGTGTGTGTGTGTGTGTGTGATGGAGCATGATATGATATGATGTAGTATACTGTGCTATAGTATGATATATGTTATATTATGTAATATATAATCTACCGTCATGCAGGTTATTCTATAACATAAATAAACATTACACTAACTCTCGTATTTATCAGTTCTCTCACAAAATCACCAACTCAAGTTCTCAACTATCTCACATTCCC